GGACGAGGAATCGATCCTCGCGGTTGCAATCGGTTGCAACTAGGCAGATTCGCGCGACGTAAGGTCACGCGGTGCAGAGCAAACGTTTAATTTACCGGATTAAACTTGGACCGCGAACAAAGTCTGTCCATGGGCGTGTACAACGTCGAACGAAATTGCGAAAGTCGTTGGTCTAGAACGACAATGGGGTAAACGAGGTGCGAAGCGCGAAGTAGAAATCGTCGCGACGGATTCACGGGGGCGGTTCGCGGCGAGAGTAATAGTCGCGTTTGATTTCGACGAGGTTCGCGCGCGGCTTCCATATACGTTTCTGAGGCGCGCCGCATCGCGCCACTTGGCGTAATTAGTTTAGGTGATCGATATTAATGGGACTCGTGCAGTCGACGATCGTATCGCGTTTCACGCCGAAGAGAAGAACCTGTCTCTCCAGTCGGTTGCGCGTTCCATTCCCAAGGCAGGGCCACAGACGGCTACTGAGTTTTGAATAACGCATAGGAGAAATTCGCGTAGCACGCACGCGTGTGCATGTACGCCGGTAATTCCATTAGGTGCATCGTTTCGAGGCTCGATCCAACGACTTCTACTCGTCCGTCAGATCTCGCTGTTGGATCTGCAACGCGTGTTACTCGAATGCACTTGGAATGCCGACCGTCTAGGCTGACCGACTTCGACTCGAACGAAGAAACGACGTCGTTTCCGTTGCACGCAACCGTTCGGATACCGATTGATAATTACCTTCCGTACACATGAAGAGGATGGCAGCAATGGACAGCCTCGCCTGCCACCTCAAAGCCATGTCCGCGATTGTTTGATGGCGCGTTCACTTTGATACTAAAGCGATTCACATCCTCTTCACTGGATGACAGCGCACCGTCCATCCACCGACATACCAACACCACGCGGCAAATCCTTATCGCAGCCGCGTTATCATCGCAGGAAGTCAGGTTACACTCTCGTCCAATCTACACCGCGAGATTCGATTACCCGAGGCTCGCGCGAGATTAGTTCGATCTCGATCCTCGCAACGCTGCTTTCCAGGCTGCAACGGGCTTTCTCGCCCGATTCTCCAGGGACCTCTCCTTCCCGGCTACGGTTCCCATAGGACGTTTTCCGTCTTCGCGCGTGAATCCGGCGAAGACGCGCACACACTCGCGAGACCAGTGGTCGTTGATAAAGTTCCAACTAGCACCTCGCAGCCTCCACGGCGCGAAAGAAAACCCGCGTCGGAAACGTTTCGTGGAAAACTTTAATCGTGTCGCGGAAATCTTTCCGGTAGATCGTTGCGAGCAGAGCCCCCGTTGCACGCTTCGATTTGCCTCCGTTCCGATCTACGCGCTCTGGCTTGGTAACTGAACGCACGGGTATCGATTCTTGGAATCGTTCCTCCGGTTCGAAAGCGCGTCGAGAAGAACGCACGATCGTCGAGAGAGGACGCACCAAGATGGTTACGCGTTCACCTTTGCTCGCGGTCGTGTCTTCTTGGAAGAATATTCACGCCGAGATTAAACGGGAGAGCCATTTATCACGTTATCCGTGGCTTCGAGGAGCTTCGTTAACCATGCTTGGCGGAGCGTCTCCTCGATTTTCCGACTTTATCAGCGTCCTCGGTGTTAGCGGACCTCGAGTTCGATGCACTCGCGATCTCCGCGTATCTCGGTCAAAAGTATCGCGAAAGCAGCGGATGAGTTCTCCGCGAGAATTGACCCTGTTCGGGGCCTAAAACGGGCAGAGGGTCGCGTAACATTTCCCGGGGAATAATTTCAACCTCGTTTCACGTGTTCGATCGCAATCGTCTGATCGAAACGTCTCATCTTTCGCTCCAGCGAATCTCGATCGCGCACGATTCACACTGTTCACACGGCTGGCAAGTCCGAGAGAAACGTCTCGACGAGAGTCACCGCGCGATTCCTCCGCATATCCGCGACAGTTTCAGACTCGCGGCACGAAATATGAATTTCTCCGAGAAAACCGTCGCGTCTATGTGCGCGACATGGTATATAGGACGACGCGACACGCACCACGTCTTGATTCGGTGGCAGATTTACCCTGACTGGGGTGATTCTTGGCCGTGGGAGCATGCGCGCTTCCGATCCACCTCCTGTGATGGTGGAAACGCGCAGAGGGTCCACGAACAGGGTCCGCGCACACGTAAAGTCCTCTCGACACACGGAGCTTCGGGGCACACACACACACACACACACGTCGCCGCGAACGCGAGCGAACCTCACCGATACGACGCTGGGTCATCGTAGGTGTAGTGTTAAGGGTAGCCCGCGTCGGTCACGACGTACGCCACTGTGTGTCACGGACAGAAAGTGTGGCAGGGCGTGCAAGGAGTACGGAACCGAGGTACGAAATCTACGATACTCTTCAGAGCGCCGCGACGAGCTTCGGGATTCACCCGCGTGTCCGTTTTCTCCGCCGATCTTCACCGTTCACCGTCGCGAGAGATCGCGCGAAATCGCAAAGCACGCCGACTGTCGCGTTAACCTCTTGGCAGTTTGGCTTTTCGTCGGTACATCTCCGCGAATGTAACGAGCATCGTCGCCATCGTTACCGCTACAGCCACCGCTACCGCCGCTGTTCCCACAGCGATATGCTAATGCGCTTTGTACCTGATAATGCTGCAATAATAAGGAAACCGAGCTAATAACGAGGTTGCCGGTTATCGGTATATCGGCGTCGACGCGTGCAACTCGGAACTCCCTTCTTTCGAGTCCCTTTCTTCCCTCCGCGGCACTGCTTCCAGCGATCGGGCGAAACGAAGAGGGTGGTAAACGTCTCGAGCGACGCGCGCGTTGCCCGCGTCCGGAAGAGTTCCGTTTAAAGCGTTTTTAACGAACTCGTTCCGAGTTTCCCGCTTTCGACGTCGAGATTGATTACTCGTGGTAGCAAAAACGCGAAACGCGCTGCTCCTTCGGACCCTTACGCGGTGCAACGCGCCCTAGACACCGTGAAAGCGACCGGTTTTCAACGTAGCGCGGACCACAGGCGAGTTTCGTTTTCGCTCGCATAAATCTGTCGCCGCGATCGTCGAGCTCGCTATTAATGCACGTTGTTAGATGAACCAGACGGAGGTGGACACGCGAGTGTGTAGCGACAGGCATCACACGCGATACTGGCACCCGTTGCCGATTAGCTCCACTTGGCTGTCTATCGGCCGTAAGAATAATTTCACGGCGTTGCGTTCGATACGCGGACAGTTTACGCTGTTCGTTTCCTTTATCGATTCGATGGCTGCGTGTTTGTCAAGCGGTATCGTCGCGAGATCCATGAATATTATAATGTGTCGGGGAAACGTCACGAACAGAAGCTGGTCTGCCGATCGACAGAGAGGGAGAGAGGGTTGAAAATTGCGCTGGTCTCGAACGCGCAACAAAAGCCTCTCGAAGAGGTTTCTTCCGCGAACATATTTCAAGGTTCGAGCCGAAACTCGGCTCGCGAGATTAGCCACGGAGAATTCGCGGCGACTGTTACCACCGGGGGGTTGAAAAATCTGTCGCAAATGTTAATTTTCCGGGCGTGACGCGCCGATCGGATATCGCGGTACGCATTCGTGACATCCTCGAACATTGGCGTATACGTCAGACCGGGTGTAATATTTCGACGACATCGGGAAACAAATGACGTTAGCCGCGCTCGCGTTACGTACGCCTCAAGCTTAACAACTGTCTAACAAAGTTTGATGAAATCTACTTTATAATCCTCGCTTTGTGAAATATTTGCAGGGAAATTTTGCGCATATGGGACACTGATATAATAACTTCTGCCTTCCCGCAACGAATACACGTTGTTCGTTCGTGCAAGCTTGCACGAGTTAAGGGCGAGAATTATGAGCCAATGTCGGTGTAATTCATTCGGACGAATAGCAAATTCCTAAATCATTTCTCTGGGGAAAAAGTTGACCGAAATTTCGCCGACGTTTGTGCTCGCGACGAAGAGAGACGATCCGTCGGGTTCTATTCGTCTAATTTACTGCCACGTGTCGGACAAATTAACCTGCCTGCCGCTGGTAGACGGGTTCCGAGTACGGGGGAAAAAATTCGGAATTAGCGATAGTTCTCGCGGTCGTTTCACGGTGCGATCCGCGACGCGTTCATTCAGAAAAATCGCACCGACCGACGAACGAGGTTCGAAGCCAAAGTTATAAATAACGTTTTGCGTGACGACCGTGCCTTTGCAGACGCGGGACCATTCATCAGCGACGCCTCGCACGTGAACCCGGCACCGATAACGACGCCCTACCGGCAGACTCGATCGCTCGATGAAAGGGGTGCTGTCGAACGTACCACGAATCAGTAGCCTCGTCTCGATCTCTCGTGGCTTCGCCGTTCTATCGCTTCGTTTTGGAGCCCCGTTGCTGGCAGAATACGTGAAATAAATGGAAAATAAACAAAACGAGACCGAGGCAACGCTCGCTTGTTCCATCCCTTTACATTCGTAATTGTCGTACAAAAACACGCTCTGCCTTGACTTTCCTCTCCATCCAATCCTTTCGCAATTTTTTCTCCCGTTTATCCATGGAATCGCCGAACGTTTAACGAAAGCAAATTATTCCGTCGCACCGAGCGTCCTCGGTCCCGCTTTTCTCCATCCGTTTTCCTATCCCCGTCGCGTCTGTACTCGGCTGCGGGGCAGTTAATCGAACGAATCGCGAATTATCGCGACGATTAAATCTTCGCGCGAGATTCGATGGAAATTCGGCCGAAGGTTGGACCTCGTTCCTTGCGAGAAACCCTTGCCACGTCCGTGATATCTGCCGAGGACAACGGTCGCTAATTTCCAAACGCGCGAGGGTATCTCGAGCAACGACGATTAAAGGCATTAAACCTCGCGACTGAGAGCCGGCGTGCATAAGTTTCGAGCGCGGCGCGATAAACCGGGCGATAACGGTGTCTGCATGTGTGCACACGAAATCCGGAGGAAGCAAAGGGGCAGATTGCGGGTGTCGAGCTGCTTGGCAGCCAAGTAAACGTTTGTCTCCACGTAAAAGGCGTCGACCTCCTTTTTCCAGCAGGCTGCCCGAACACGACTGCGACACGCTAAGATTTTCGATATTTCGAAATTGATGCCGATAACGAGCTCGAGCTGGCGTCCTCGGCGTCGCCTCGTCAGGCCGGTGTACTCGTACCGTTCTTGTTCCCGTGTTATTTTATCGGCCCCACGCACGAACATTTCCGCACGAAATTGAAAAACGCCGCGCGGCAACGAGCGAGCACGTCAGCTACGAATTCTAACCGAAACTCGCGATACCTCGCCAGCCACTTTCCAGCCTCTTTACCCGTTTCCGCCCGCCGAATACGGAATCGAAATCCGGCCACGAGTATCCCCCGGTCTGCTGAGCGATTTCATAACTCGCCGCGAGTTATAAGCGGAACCGTACCACACGGTCGAGTCGCGTTTACGAGCGAGACGAAGCTGCCTTAAGCTAGCCGCGGGAACTCGACATACCACCGGGGACGCCGCGACGGATCGAAAATCCGCGTCGAATACGGCGAGTCTGGAACGAAAGCAGGCGCGTTTCCGCCCGGAGGGTACGCAGCCGCGGTAAGTCGCGAAATTAGTCGGTTAATAATGGATCGATTCTCGAAGGGAATTGCGGCGAAACGCACCGCGGTGGTCCGCCGAGCGAATCGTATCCGCGAAAACGGATCGGCTAATCGCTTAGCCGCGTAGCGGTTTATACGTTGGAATAAAATCTCTGTAGTCTGTAATCCCGTGCGCGATGAGGATACAGCGTTTCGCGGTATTTATCGCGCGGACGCAAAGCGCAGTTTACGCGGTGATAAAAATTCCTGGCGGAAATTCGTACGTAGCATCGTGCCCGTTATCATCGTGGACATTAATATTTGTACTTTATAGTTAAATACCCATCCGGGCAGCGAGCGTGCACGCGAAATTTTGCAACCTGGCCCAGC